ATGTGAATTAAAGAAGGATGTACTTTTTTGGAGGTGAAGCCTGAAGGCCCATTGAAGAGTTAAAGATTGAAGACTCCCCACAAGTAGAGTCTATAATATATTAACTGAGTTGTATAATGGCAGGCAACTTAGGTGCCAAAAATATTTGTAATAATTTGGACACTACTTATACTTCTGTTTTGGTTTATATGTGTTAATTGTTTATTGGATGCGCATTAGAAAAGCATATCTTTTTTCTAGGTTTCTTCTATTGCTTTGTTTGGGAGTTGTCTGGACTTGTGATACGATAGACTCTTAGGATAAAATAAATTTTGTACCACTTAAATTGTAAACAACCTAAAATCAATCTAGGCTTCATGTCTTTTAAATAAGAAAATTGCATGGCTACCTTTCAAGGAGTCAAGTTTTCCAAAAATTAAAATAAACATGCATAGCCCCCAAAAATGTCTCATGTAGAAAAGCTACCACTTAAGAACTAGATAACAAAAAAGTCAGCATTTGTGAGTTTGCATTCTGCATACCCCACATAATTAGTCATCTTATCCTCAAAGCCAAGCTATAAGCACTACCTCTCAAATAAGAACAACCCTCTACTCTACATTTGCATTAAGACCGAACGACATGGTTTTAAAATCGATTAGGTGGGTCTAGCTGGTAGTCCCTTCCAGGCGTGACAGTAAATCCAGAAGTCGGGTAGGCTATGCTTCATGTGAGGTGTAGCTTATAAGTCATTTTGCATTCATTAGACAGGTTCGAGGCACTACCTATCAGTAGTCCTCATCTTAGTTTTAGGGTCTGAGGCAATAGTTGATTTCAAATCACTATATAAGCCCTCACCTTTAGGACAATCCCTTCAATAAGTATTGTTGGAATGTAAGCCCAAACTCCCTAATAAAATATTAAACTTAAACAAAATTAGATTTCTAAAATGTAAAGCCCGACATAGGATAGTCTGAGCATCTCTGAGTTTCCCTCAGAATTAAGTGCTCCTACTTCACCTCTTTTGGCTCTCATTCCAAATCTAATCCCAAGTTGATCAATTTCTCCTTGAAATTCCTAAAGGTCAAAACCTTTAAACAAGACTTTCATGGATTCTAAAAAAAAAAAAAACAAACTTCAGCCAATATTTAAATGACTCTCAAAATGAATAAAACCACTTGTTTAATCAAAAGTCTTCCTAAGCCAAAGCTTGGGATGTAATTAACCCCTATGGGACGTCTGTACCACAGAAATAAATAAACCCTATTCGACCAAACATCGAATGAGGAATCTCTGTTAAAAATTATAAATTTTATGATTGAGTCTATAAGAAAATGATATTTTTTACCCTTCGGGTAATATATCATCATTCTTATGCCGTACTCAATCATAAAGCATGCAATCCGTTTGAGAATACAAAAATTCTCCTACAGATTTTCTGGCGACTGCATTGGGAAGGATGTCTCTTTTCATCTAAATTAGTGGTTTTCAATTAGCCATACTAAATATTAGCTAAATGGCATTTACAAAATCAATTTTGTATTGTATACCTCTCCCATTTTTAAATGTTGGGTTGAATGGCTCCAATACAAGCAAATGCATTTCAAGATGAACTTTCCAAATTGTTAAAAAAAATGATAAAGATGAACTTTGGTTTTCCAAATCAATCATTTTCAAATAAAATTTCCACATTCTCAAATATTCAATCTCAAAACCTTCCCCACACCATAATTGTTGTAGTTGTATAAAATATATAATCAAACAATGTCAAATGGTGTGGGATTTCAAAAAATCTATCAAATTAATTCATCATCCGTTAAATTCGGGTCATAGTTGTGGGTGGTCAGTGATTCAAATCAGTGGTTAGGAAATAAAAAAAAAGTGCAGTGATTAGTTGATGTTATATTGATTGAATTCAAGAAAATACAACAAAAAGATTGATATAGAGAATTTTGAATTTTAGGGAAACTTTTGAGATTGAGTTGTTTGAGAATTCAGTGAGTCAGAAATGGAAGACAGACTGATTTTCAAATTTGGTGATCATTTGCAGTTGTCTTTTGATCAGTCCCGCTTTTCTCCTAGGGACATGATCAAGTTTAGGCAATGTTTTGAGGACATGGAGGTTATTTTCCAATGTCCTACACCTTCTGAGGCTCGAATTTTGGAAAACCAACCTTCATCTGAAAAGTAGGTTTTAGAAATAAACTTGCCTGCTAGGGAGAGGTCACATACTCAGAGCAGTTCAGCTGGACGATTCTTTGTGAAGTCAAGGGAGGTGCGGCTAGTTTAGGTGGAGCAGATGATGGTAGCTCAAACGAAGACCTGGAGGATTTCGGCAACCACAGCGAGCAAGGATTGCTCGGCTAGTTGCAGGTGCAGGAGACTCCTGCGTCCGAGGCTTCTCGAGAAGTTGTTGTTGGGGATTTTGACTGGTGAGAAAAGGTAAGAGGCCTCAATCAGCTGCTGTGGATGGAGAGCACTATGAGGGAGTAGCGGAAGGAGAAAGTGACGGGCTTTGAGCAGATCTGAATGGAGATTGAAGGGATTTACAACTTGGAGACAGGCTTCGGCTTGTGGGTTTGGGATCATGAAGCAAGAAAAGTGGGGTTGGAAGTTAGCTTGACTTGGAGTGGGGTCTATAGATGGATGGGTAGGAGAAGAGATTGAGGGAAACGAACTCTGAAAAGCTTCAAGGGATCAGAACTCTTCCAATCTTTGCGCGTGGGATCAAAACAACAAAAATCAACCACGAACCCTTCTTTCCTTTCATTTTAACAAGGAAGCGTAGCATTCAAACAAGATAAGCGATAATTTCAGCGGGATTTACGGCGTAATTTCCGGAGATTTGAGCAGAGATCATCGCAGGATTTCGACTCCAGAGAGGCATGCGACATTTAATTTGAGTTGATCTCACATTATTTTTTTAACTTTTTTTGGTTAGATTCATGTGTAACATTTATAATTACTTGTCACAATTAGTATTAACATTAAATAAGGATGGCCGCAATATATTAGTCAATATGAATCTAATAAATGCAGATGGGTTTTACGGTGTAATTTCCGCACGCTTGCTTTTTCTTCATGGGAGTTTTAACTGAATTAAGTTTTGGAGTAAATTTTGGGAAGACAGATGGGTTTGTAGATAAGACACTACCCAGATATTTTTCCCTCATTTTGTAAGGACTTTATGATTTGAGTTCTAGTTTCCTATAGGCGTAAGCCCCTATAGTTAATTACCCCTCCCGATCACAAGAGAGAACTTTCGATTAAGGCTAGTCATCAATCAGATATGTAGAGATACGTGTTATCTGGCATATAGTAGCAGCGTGGGCTTAAGAATATTGGAGGTTTGAGACATGAATCAATATGATATAATCGATAAGGCATAAAGCCCTCTGTTAGCTAAGGTGGATTCAAATTTGTCCCTTTAGAAAAGTATTCACCTCAGATCTACGAGGTACCTTTGGACGAAGCAACCCATGACTGCCGACAAGGATCCTTCTGTCAGGTTGGGTCGACTATCTCCTTTGACTAAGTAGATTAGGGACCATGATGACCTCGGACAACAAAACCATGGGATCTTGATCGGGTCCATCATTCTTTCCCCATAACTTCCACTTTAAGTGTAGGGTGATGAAATTTCTAATTTTAAATATCAAATTCTCAAACACCTAAACACATGCTGCTATTATACACCAGATAACACGTACCTCTACGTATCTGTTTGACAACTAGCCTTAATCGAAAGTTCTCTCTTGTTATCAGGATGAGTAATTAACTATAGAGGCTCGTGCTTATAGGAAACCTGAACTCAGATCTGATGTCCTCGCAAAATGAGGGCGAAATCTTTTGAGTAGTATCTTATTTTAAACCCAATCTGCGATTAGAGAATTTACCTCAGAAGTCAGAACTTAATTCGTTAAAACTCTCCTTAAAGAGTGGAGGTAGTAGGGATGCGAATTTTCGGACCTCACGGTAGCATGAACCATACCTTGCTTCCATTATCTTTTAAGCATCTTCATTACCATGACAAAAATGTACAAATTTGATGCTAATCCATGACGTGAGAAACTTTTAGTTACCCACAACTATTACTAATACTAGAAAATGCTTCATCATCTACATTTTTAATAAATTCAACATACGATTGACCCTTTTTTTAGAATGTGTATCAAATCAATTTTTATGGTAGTAGATCACATGCCTTTTGGAGATCAATAAAAACATATGATGATCCTTTATTTGCTTTTAACATTTTTTTTAATTAATTTTTTTTTACATGATAATCACCTCCATAGTTAATTTTCCTGGCATAAATCAAAGTGATTCTTCAATATCGATGTAATTTTTCTAAGCCTATATTTCATTATCTTCTTAACTTCAATATGTGATTCCTAAGTTTTTTTCCCTATGGTCATAACAATCTTGGACATTATTTTGTTTTTAAACACTGGAACTAGAAATTATTTTCTAATATTCTCTATCAAGTAGTTTCTGCAAGGGATTTGTGTTCTTTTGGGCAGAAGTTTTTCCTTCTTAAGGAGGACGTGATCTGTTGACTGCTGTCATCCACCTCAAGCTCTTAATCAGGGGCTCATTTTATAGGAAGCCAAGTGCTTAGCAAGATTATAGAATTGCAAAATTGAGACATCAACTTTATCTTAGAAAATGGATTAATCAAATGAAAGGAGATATTAGCAAAAGTTTTATTAGATATGTTGTTAACGTTTAGAACCATTTCTATGAACTTGAGAGGATCAAATACGCAATTTTGGTTTTCATATTTAGTGTGAAGGATAAAAAGTTCTGCATTGCATTCTTTTGTGTCATCTCTAGTTATACAGTTTAGTTCAAGTTTTGTATATTGGAAAATATTTGCAAATTAACTAGAATGACTTGTTTGATTAGAATGGTACATTTAAGATATATTTTTAATGATATTATTGTAAATGAGATGATCCTGTAGGAAAATCAGCTACGGGAAGGACAATAAATCTCTATTTTTGATTGGCTTGCCCCAGGTTTTGAAGTTTAATCTCACCGAATCTGGCTTATTTTGCGTGTTACCATGGTTAACCATGGCTGCTTCCGCAAACATAGGAGGTTGGATTGCAGATACACTGGTTGCCAAAGGGTTCTCTATAACAACAGTTCGAAAAGTAAGTTTGATATGTACGATCTGAACCATAGAGAACTTGTTCTTCTTCATCTCCCTTATTAGTGTTGTACCTATTCAATCTTTTTCATGTATTTCACATGTTGATAAATTGATTTCATGAAAGTTTTAATGTTATGGTTATTGTTTATTAATGTTGTGTTGAAACTTATCGGCATACTAATAATGTCTTATTACCCAAATGCAGATAATGCAGTCAATAGGCTTTCTGGGACCCGCATTCTTTCTTACACAACTCAGCCATATTAATAGTCCACTATTAGCTGTGTTTTGCATGGCCTGCAGTCAGGTATGTTAAACTTGTGATCAAGTGTTTGGATTCTTGATGATTTTTCGCAAATGAATTTTTTATCTCTTTCACTCGTTCTTCTGTTTTCTTGGGTTAATTATTTATCCATATTTTATTCCCTTTCAACTTAGGCATCATTTGGGACGGCTTTCTTGCTGCTTCTTAAATCGGTTTTTTTTTATAAAAATTTTAATTTTTGTACTCGAAAGCAACTTTAAGAAGCAATAAAAAAACCGTCCCAAATGAAGCCTTAGTTTGATTATGTCATTTTTGAACACAGTGGAGCTAACCTTGACCATTGAGCCGTTAGTCATCTGGGATTAGAATATTATTATTTTTCTATATTAAACCCTAATTCTTTGATAACATCATTTTTTTTAAGGGTTGAAATATATTTCATATATTTTAGGCTAGAAATACTCCTATGACAACATACATGGAGTTGAGAAACATACTACCTGCTATGCATGTCGCTTAAAGGAGCATGCTACCTGAGCTAGAGCTCACACCCATAACCTTTACCCTCAAATAAGGTTGTTTGCTTCACTTTTGGCCTTGTAAATTATGAAAGTAGCATCCGGGAAAAGCATTGGAGCTTGTTGCTTGGTGCCTAATATTATTTTCTACTGTAAATTGCTTGCATTTTAACTTCTAGCAATTACTTTATCAAGTTTTACTGAAAAAATGATCCCCATTCATTTGTTCGTTTGCAGGGTAGTGATGCATTTTCACAGTCAGGCTTATATTCTAATCACCAAGACATTGGACCACGCTATTCGGTAAGCTCCAAATGTAGTCATCTTTGTCTAATTAGGCCATAGAATATTTTTGCTACTACGAATATGCCATTATGTTCACGATGGTTCCCTAAGTACTCGCTTGTTCTTAGAGACGCATTTGTTAAGAAAATAAATCAGACCTAACTTTTACACAAAGACATTGACCTTAAAGTAGATATGATGAATTATAAAGCAATTATAAAAAAAAGCCAAGTACCAAAAAAATGACTCCAATATCTATATAGTTCGATTTAACAATCTTACATCTATGATCACATAGATTGATGGTAGTTCCACTAGAGAACAGAAAAACTGCAGTACAATAGGAGCTCTCAATAATTATCTCCCACCTCTTTCTCTCTCTCTATTTTTTTTTCTTTTATCTCTATCAGGTTTACTCAAAATAATAAACTCAAAATCAAAATAATGAAACACTCTAAAAAACTCAAAAAAAAAAAAAAAAAAAAAAAAAACTTGATGCAAGAAAACTATTGGTTTACAACAATCAAGAATGAAGGGGGATTAAATTTGTTGGGGAGAAGTGAACCACGCAACGAAACAAATAAGAAATAGAGAATTGCAATGGAAAGGAAAGAACATTAGGATTTAATGTGGATTACTCGAAACCGGAAAAAAAACCACGGTGTCACACCACACCAAGAAATTCATTATGAAAATTGGGAGAAATGATACATATCTCTCTTCTCTCTGGCACTCTCTCTTTGTCTCTCTTCTCTTTAGCACCATTCTTACACAAGAACAAACCAAGAGATGCACTACAATTGCTAAGGGGCGCAACCCTTAGTGAAAAACGAGAAAGAAAACTATTATGTTTGCCTCATAGAGCCAAGTTGGAGCACCGCGACGTGCAATTCTCAAGTTGGAGCTCGAGCTCGGTATTTGACAATGAGCTCGACTCAAATACCCTCTGACTCGTGCTCGACTCAACTCGTTTGCACCCCTAGTTGGTCAATAGCAGCCGCCTTTAGTAATGTCATTGATTTTTAATCCAATAATACTTTGTAGTTGGTGAAGATGCTATGTGCATGTTGGTGGTGAACGATTGATGTTTCAACAAGCAAATTGGCACTAATAATTCTAACCCTAAATTACATCCTAATTCAGATTAAATAGATTCAGTTATCAATGTCCATAAAATTTAATAATTATCTTTTCCTCTCATTGATAAGCGTTTAGTTATGAGTGACTCACAAATGATGCAACATAGTAGTGATTTATAAAAGTTCTCAACTTCCGAAATGAATAGTGCATGAATGAGCAAATGCTAATTATAATAGAGGCCACCAATATACTTCTTGTCGGCAACCTTAGATCATGCGTGAAAGATGATAGTGAGGTCGTGGTTTCTAAAAAAATTATCATATTGATAGGTCGGTTCATCTAGAACCTACCCAGCCAGCCCCACCTGGGCTGGTAATAGTCTATAGGAGGCGGTTCAAACTGCCTCCCTTGGTTTGCCGCCTAGCCTAGGGGCCCACGCGTATTTGATTTAATTAAAAAATATTATTTTAGGAAAGAAGCCCACACCTATTTGATTTAATTAAAACTATTATTTTTGGAAAGGGGAGGGGTGGTTATGGCTAGGGATGAAGGCTATAAATAGGTATGAGGGGGAAGGGTTAGGTCAAGCTTTAACAAACCAAGAGATGCACTACAATTGCTAAGGGGCGCAACCCTTAGTGAAAAACGAGAAAGAAAACTATTATGTTTGCCTCATAGAGCCAAGTTGGAGCACCGCGACGTGCAATTCTCAAGTTGGAGCTCGAGCTCGGTATTTGACAATGAGCTCGACTCAAATACCCTCTGACTCGTGCTCGACTCAACTCGTTTGCACCCCTAGTTGGTCAATAGCAGCCGCCTTTAGTAATGTCATTGATTTTTAATCCAATAATACTTTGTAGTTGGTGAAGATGCTATGTGCATGTTGGTGGTGAACGATTGATGTTTCAACAAGCAAATTGGCACTAATAATTCTAACCCTAAATTACATCCTAATTCAGATTAAATAGATTCAGTTATCAATGTCCATAAAATTTAATAATTATCTTTTCCTCTCATTGATAAGCGTTTAGTTATGAGTGACTCACAAATGATGCAACATAGTAGTGATTTATAAAAGTTCTCAACTTCCGAAATGAATAGTGCATGAATGAGCAAATGCTAATTATAATAGAGGCCACCAATATACTTCTTGTCGGCAACCTTAGATCATGCGTGAAAGATGATAGTGAGGTCGTGGTTTCTAAAAAAATTATCATATTGATAGGTCGGTTCATCTAGAACCTACCCAGCCAGCCCCACCTGGGCTGGTAATAGTCTATAGGAGGCGGTTCAAACTGCCTCCCTTGGTTTGCCGCCTAGCCTAGGGGCCCACGCGTATTTGATTTAATTAAAAAATATTATTTTAGGAAAGAAGCCCACACCTATTTGATTTAATTAAAACTATTATTTTTGGAAAGGGGAGGGGTGGTTATGGCTAGGGATGAAGGCTATAAATAGGTATGAGGGGGAAGGGTTAGGTCAAGCTTTGGTTATTGTCCTCTTGTAGTCTCTTTGGCGTCTTGGGCTCTAGACTCTTGTCTAGAGATTTGGGAGAGACGATCCTCCTCTCGAATAGAGGATCAATTGTATCTTTTCTTCTAGTTTATTTTGCTTTGAGTATTTAATAAAGTTCTATTGTTTTCTTGGTTGTTTCATATCTGAGCTTGGATATTCTCGCTGTTTTTACCAATGTCGCATTAGGGTTGCTTGCGAACTCAAATAGATCCGATAAGATTACTTGCGAACTCAAGTACTTCCTATTAAATTAGTATCAGAGCGTTGTCTTGGGACCAACGGCGGCTGAAATTTCAGTGGTGATTTCACATTTGGAAGACAAACTTCTTACGATTCATAGGAAGGAAGATGGCCGGAAAGAAGGTTTAAGTTTTGGAAGGAGAAATTAGACAACTCAAAAATGATTTGGAGGGAAGATTTTTTTATTTACAATATCAGATTTCTACCAACAACGAAAGGATGGAAGGAAAGTTCGCCATCATGAAGGAGATGTTAAAGAAATTACTTGAGGTGAATATCGCTCCGGCAGCATCGGAAGCAAGGGGGACTAGCGGTGACCATGAAGAAGGGGAAACCCTAACCTGTTTAGGGGAAGGGAAAATCCGGATGTAGAAAATTTGGAGGGTGAAGAAGGCATGCCTCCTCTAGAACCACTTTCTAGGGAAGAGATAAGCACCGGAGTTCAACCGAAGGGCTGCTGAATTTCCAGGAAAGAGAGGATTTCTACTACCAAGATGCTGATTTTGAAAGAGGAAGAGGGGAATCTGATACGAGAGGTAGGTATAATCACCGAAGGGAAGATCGTGATAACTGGGAGCACTTCCTCATCGTGGATTTGGAGGTTATGGTGGATTTCGTGGGAACGGGTGTGATCAAAAGGTGAGAAAATTGAAGATGCCCTTCTTCAAAGGAGTGGACGGTCATGGCTGGATCTACAAGGTAGAATGATATTTCGCCGTCAATGGGTTGATAGAAGAAGAGAAGCTGACCGCGGCTGGACTATGTTTGGAAGGAAAGACGTTGGTATGGTACCAATGGAGGGACATGAGGGAGCCCATCCAGACTTGGAGAAAATTTAAAGAATGCTTACTCGAGCATTTACGAACCAATAAGGGATGAGATTTCTATGAGCAATTCTTTGCCTTAACATAGGAGGGAATTGTGACAGACTATCGAGACATGTTCGAGTACTTAACCAGCAGATTGGACCGGCTATCAGAGACAGTACTGGAAGGAAACTGGATGAAAGGGCTTAAATCGGAAATCCGGGCAGTAGTAAGAGTATTGGAGCTAAGAAACATGGGAAAAACCATGGAAGTAGCACAGTTGATAGAAGATCAAAAGAAGATGGAGAGAGTGGCGAAGGGGAGCAACTCAGGAGGGTCCTATAGGATGACAACCACATTTTTACCATCCAAGGGACCAGCACCAGGGAGTCTGAAGGAAGTACCTAAGGAAAAGGTCGGCAGAGGAGGAAATGGGGGAAATTTCAAAATGTTAAATGAAAAAGAGGTACAAGAGAAAAGAGCCAAATGGGTTGTGCTTTAGGTGTGATGAGAAGTACATACCAGTGCATAGGTGCAATGACCTAACTCTTCAGGTTCTCACCGTCTGTGATGACAAGGAAGATGACATGGAGGTGGAAGTGGTTTAGAAATGGAGGAAGAGGAGAAAATGCATCTAGATATGGCGAAAGTCTCCCTAAACTCAGTAGTAGGATTCACTCTGAATCACACTATGAAGGTGAAGGGAGAAATAACTGATAAAGAGGTAGTAGTGTTGATAGATAGTGGGGCAACCCACAATTTCATCTCCACCTAGATTGTAGATCTGTTGGGGATGAGGTTAGTGGATACGGGTGGTTATGGGGTGATGATGGGCACGGGAAAAGTGGAGATGGGTATGAGAGTTTGTAGGGGAGTAGTGCTGATTATACAAGGGCTGTAGGTAAGGGAGGATTTTCTTCCCTTAGAATTGGGAAGCTCCGACGTCATCATGTGGATGAAGTGGCTACAGACTATGGGAGATACTAAGGTCAATTGGGGGGGCTCTAAGAATAGAATTAGTGGTGGAAGGAAGAAGAATGGTGATCCAGGGCGATGCAGGACTGTCGAGAGCTGGAGTATCTCTCAAATCCAAGATAAGGAGCATACAGGAGGCAGGGGGAGAATATTTGGTGGAATTGCAATGCCTGGAGGGGATTAGTGTGGGGGGAGGAGGAATCCCTCTTGTAGTACAACCAATCATACAACAATTCAAGGAAATCTTCTAGCCACCTCAAGGCTTACCACCCCTCAGAGATTAGGAGCATGCAATCATTTTGAAGGAAGGGGTATCACCAATTAGCGTACGACCATACCGCTACCCCTAAATTCAAAAGGATGAGATTGAGAAGCTTATCAGGGAAATGTTGAAGGAAGGCA